CTCAGAAAGTTGCACCTGCAGACCCTAACAGACCTGCCTGCTGGGAATTTGTCCAGCCCTTTTGGGATCCACTATTATTTCTAGTCAGTTTCTACTGGTAGCATTGCCAGCTGTAAGGGCGGTGATCAATCGGGGGTCAGAGTGGGGTGGGGAAGGTCAAGAGAGCCTCTTTTGGCCAAAGGTAGCTGTGCAAAAGTCTCACACTAGGTGCCAGCTAAAATCTGTGACTCTGTCTCAAAGGAACAGGAAGGGCAAGGCTGGTGTACCTCTGAACATAGCCCCCGACTCCCGTTAGCCCCAGCAGTTCCATCAGAATTTTTACCAGAATCCTAAACAAGGAGGTAAATTAATAAAAACTTGAGTTTTCTCTCTGTATATTTTCCCAGCCCACATAGTAAGTAGTTAATGTACATGAAATAAATGAAAGCTATAGAGTGATGGCTTTGCGGTTATGTTTTTCCAAGGGCTGTTTGCTGTATTTCCTCGGAAGTGAGCACACAGTGGTGGAAGAGAGGCTTACTCAACCAGCTGCTCTGCAGAAGCTGCTGCTTCATTCAGTCTTCCCTTCGTGGCAGCACCGGTGAAACCTCCATTAGGTTATATCATCTGGGCCAGAAAAATACACATCCCCTCTCCTAAGAAGGGGGACACATTATTTTAGGCTTCTTGGGGGAGTCTTCTAGACTTTTGGACAGAGGCCCGGGAAAAGCGTTGAAATGATAGCAATAATTTGAAAGCCTAATGTGAGATGCTCACATGGCATCTGGAATGAAAAGGGGCTTAAAAATGAAAACTAGCTCAGCAGTCCGCCCTGCCCCACGTCTTTCTCAGAACAGTATAGAAAGCAAAACCCTCACAGATCCTGCCACTTGCCACACAGTGTTAGCAAGGAAAGTGCAGAGCAGGTCACAGTATTTCTAATTCAGATTAATGACCCCATTCAGCCCTGTCTCCTTAGCAGGAAATTAGAAAGTGTAGGAAGAAGCAAATAGTGATTCATAACGTGTGACTCTGGGCATTGGCAGTTGTGCTCGTTAAAAGCTAAGATATTATTTTGATATAAAATAATTGAGTCTGACTTATTTATGGGATAAAGTGTTCTCCAAAATGGGAGATCTCTTCTAAAGCCGGCTGGTCACATATTCATATGTTTGAAGGACAGGAGAATAGACCTTTGCCTATTTTGTGTTTGCTGAAGCTCTGTCAGAAACAGTAATTTGAGGTGACAGGCTGGTTGGTCTTGTACCTTTTTGTTGATCCTATATCTCTTCTCCTGCCCCTTGTCATCTCTCCCTACCTGGTCTTCCATTCTCCACCGTGCACACTTACTTTTTCAGGGAACTTCTTTAATTTGGAGGCTTCATTTGTAAACTATTTGCTTCCAGCCATGACCTTTTTGAAGTCTTGCTATCTCTCACTTACCAACATGCGTGCACATGCACTTCTATTTGATTCACAGAGACTTATATATAAAACCCAACTCATTCCCACGTAAGTTCCATTCCTTCTCTAAAGGCCACACATATCTACTTCTTCCTTCCTTTAAGGAAGGCCACACATATCTACTTCTTCCTTCCTTTGCCCTCCATACCCTGTCTGTCAGTAAGAGCTGCCCCTTCCTTGTTGGATTCAGCCCTTCTCATCCATTTCCTCATTCAGTATATAAGCTTGGCTCAGGCTCTTGTTTAAGAGAGAGAAACAATTTCTTTGAATCAAAACTATGCAAAGCCCAGTCCCTTGGCATGCCCAATAAGCCTCACCCTCGAGGATACATTCTTTGTTGCATGTCCCAGGGATGTGTTTACTCACAGATCCCACATCCAAAGAGTGTTGGATGAGGTTTAGAAATAAGTGCATCTGAGAAGTCATTCCCAAACGTAAATGTATGTTGGAATCTCCTGGGGAGCTTTTTAAAAATGCAGATTACATTTAAGTCTGAATCTCATCTCCCAGCACTTTCCCTCTTTCCCTCCCCCTGATGCCAGTCCCCTTGCTTTCCCTTGAGCAAGATGGGCACTTTCTTACTTTGGGGACTTTGTGCTTGCTGATTTCTCTCTGTAACTGTCTTCACCCAGATATCCACACTGACTTGCTTCCTTGCCTTGGTGAGGTATCTTTTCTGATGGATATTATCTCCTCAGAGAGGCAAACATACTCTTTAAAACAGCCTCCCTCCATCTGCTCACATTTGTTCCTTTTTTTTTTTTTTTTTTTTTGAAACAGAGTCTCACTTTGTTGCCCAGGCTAGAGTGCCGTAGGGTCAGCCTAGCTCACAGCAACCTCAAACTCCTGGGCTCAAGGGATCCTACTACTTCAGCCTCCCGAGTAGCTGGGACTACAGGCATGTGCCGCCATGCCCGGCTAATTTATATATATATATATATGTATATTAGTTGGCCAATTAATTTATTTCTATTTATAGTAGAGACAGGGTCTCACTCTTGCTCAGGCTGGTTCAAACTCCTGACCTTGAGCAATCTGCCTGCCTCGGCCTCCTAGAGTGCTAGGATTATAGGCGTGAGCCACCACGCCCAATCTGCATTTATTCTTTTTGTCTTTCTTTGGATCCCTTGATATATTATATATTTATGATTTTTGGCTTATTGTTCCTCCTAGATAGTGTGTTCTGTTGGAGCAGGCATTTTGTCTATTTGGGCTACCACTTTATCCTCAGAGCTTAAAAGATGCTTCACACATAGTAAGCACTCAAGCAATGTCATCGTGACCAGGGAATAAAAGATGGATCAGAGAGGCTGAGTTAATTTGGGAAGACTTGTTCTAAAGCAATGGTCCTTAAAGTATGCTCCTGAGACAAGTGGCTTTAGTATCTCTTGAGAAATGTTAGAAATGCAAATTCTTGGGCTTCACATCAGACCTGCTAAATCAGAAAGTGGGAGGCAGCCACGTGGGTTTCAACAAGCCAGGTGATCCTGGTGCTTGCTAAAGCTTAGGAGCCACTGCTCTAAGTCATTGTTTTGGTGACATGTTATCTTTTGTACCTACTCCTATTTGTCAAGACAAAAAAAAATCTTGTGGCATTCATATTTGACATTCACGCTAACCTTAGACCATTCCCTGATTGTTTCTGGTTCACAAGTCAGGGAGCTGGCTTGTCCTGTGGTCCTCAAGCATCAAGGAAGAACTCAGAATACATTGGTTGGCTGATTGGTTTTATAATATTCTTTGTATATTCAGTTTTTTTGGCTCTAAGTGACACAATGAGAGAGAAAGGTTATATTCTTTGACGTAGTGTTATTATAAGTATATGTTTTATTAGAATAGAGATGATATATTGATTATAAATACTTGTAGGTTGTTTAATTTTGACTCATTGCTTTATTACTTAAGGAAGTAGTAAAGTAATTAAGAGTGTGGGCTTAAGAGTCAAATTTGGGCTGGACCAGCCCTTAGTTGGGCAGTAGCGCCTGTCTTGGAGGCTAAATAGGACTGATGCATGCTAGGTACTCAAAGTAGCAGTTAATAATGATATTTGGCATTTTAATAACATATAATATGTACCACTTATGCTGATGTGTGTGCACGATTGTAATCATTAAGACAGAAAGAAGATAGTGGAAAATATGTTTTAGGACAGCAGTGCTCACAAAGTGGTATTCAGACCAGCGGCCTCAGCATCACCCGGAGAATTGTCACAAATGCAAATGTTCAGGTTCTGCCCAGATTTACTAAAACAGAGCTCTAGCAGCAGACTTAGCAATCTGTGTTTTTACCATCTCTCCATGTGCTTCAGGTGCACACTCAAGTTTGGGAAGCCTTGCTTTAAAATCATACACACACTACCCCATACCACACACCCCTTGTATATGGTGTGTTTGTTTTGGAGAATAATCTATTAACAGACGAGAAGACCATGGTAGCCAACAACTAGAGAATTCCTGCTAAAGGACACGTCAATAGGGTCCAGGTTGTTGGAATATGAAAAACAGACCCAATTCCTGGTTTCTACACACAACCATTGGGTGGACTAGCTTTCTGACAGCCCTTTGAAAAATGAGGTTGGTGGTAACAGCTCTCTCTCCCTCAAATGTTTCCCTGGCCTGCAGCAATCAAACAGCTGAGCAGGAAACTGGACCTGAAGTTCTGTTAACCCTTTGTCAGCTAAAGCACGGGAGCAATTTGTCTTGGTGAAGAGATTTTATTTTCAACCTCTTTCCCTCCCACTGCACTACAAAGGAAAGCTGCCTCCTAAAACATCTCCTTGTCCAGCTTCCGTGTCTGCGTGATTGAAACAGCCAGGTCAGAGATCAACAGAGGTGAAAGGTCATTACAAACTAAATGCAGCTGCTGAATCTCCTTGTGCTTCTCCTTGGTGTCATGAAGACAAATAGCATTAAAAAAAAATTCTCCCAATGAAGCAATTCTCATTTTCTCCTTTCTTGTCCCCCTGCAAGCATTTCTTAATGAAGTACGACTCCATCATCTATGAGCCTGACGGCTTTAAAGCCGAGATAACCTAGCAGGAAACGACCAGAACTGAGTCCCTTAAGCCAGCTTTCTGAGTGCTTTTGTCCTTGTCTTAGTAAGTTTGGCCTTTTACTACAGCCCAAGTCCTTATTGTTACTATTTATGAAAGTATCAAACCTGCAGTACAGTCAAGCCAGGTCTTCAGTGTGGGTCAGGACTGAGGCATTGGACAACCATATTCCTCTTTATTGTTAACTGTAGGGTCTTTTCCATACATTCTTTTTTTTTTTTTTTTTTTTTTTTTTATTTTTTTATTTTTTTTTATTTTGGCATATTATGGGGGTACAGATTTTAAGGTTTCAATAAATGCCCATTCCCCCCCTCCCCCCAAAAGTCTGAGTCTCCATCATGACCATCCCCCAGATGGTGCACATCTCACTCACTATGTATGTATATACCCGCCCCCCTCCCCCCATTCTTTTTTTTTTTATTGTCCATGTGTGCTTTATATTAATAGATTTTCTGTGTGAATTTTGAATTCTAGACCAGCATCTTCCACCTTCTACTTAGGGATTTCTCAGAGAGCCCAATCTAATTTGAATGTGAGTATGAGCAAAGAACAATTGGGATCATAATCTTATTTAAGCCACAACTGTTAGAACCCAGTAACTCTTTATTAAGGAAGGACAATCCTGCCTTCCTGTTTCTCAGTTTTTAAGTTGAGAAGTTTTGAATTCAGAAAACAGAATAGGTCCCAACTATAGTGTCCAGTGTATACCTCTTTAATGATGAGAATCGACTGTATTCAACCCAAGCTAATTTTTACAAGGTCTTCATGGTGTTGCATGCTTTGTTCATAGTAGATGCTCAATACCTTTTTGATTCAATATTATTTGCAAATGTGAGTTTTAGCCACCAAAAGCATGAAAGCTGGCATTATGATATAAAACATCTCATTTTATGGTAAAATGAGAATTATGCATCAAAATTGAGTTTCTATTCCACTAGTGCAGACAATGGAAGAAAGAATTGGATTTTTGCTTTTAAGTGAAAATATATATGTAGAACAATCACTATGGGTCCACCCATGCTACATGGTAAGTGCTTGTTGGATGTTACTTTCTTTCTCCCTCTCGGGTGAATGATGGTGTGGAGGAAAGGGTTGCAGAATTATCTGCAAAAGCGTTTGAATCCATTTGTGCACCAAGCATCACATATAGATGGATTAAACAATATCTCTTACAGAGAGTTCTTAATCTTTTCCAAATACCCACATACACACTATTGTGGTAAATAAAATAGACATCTTCCTATAATCATTACAAAATTAATTGTAGCTTTTTTGTCATCCTGTGTTTTGTCAACCACTATCAAGTCACGGCTCTGACATTTTTTGAGTAGAAAAGGTATCCACCTATTGAAAAGCAGAGGAAACTGCTGTTCTATAGCATTGCTTAAGGCAGGGCTTCCCAGAAGTGGTCTTAAGACCTGGTGGTTCCTTTTTAAAATGTTGATTGCCTGGCTCCTTCTCTGACCTTCTACATTAAAAATCTCTCAGGTAGGAACCTAGCAATCTGCTTTTCAAGGCGATTGGGAAATACCTTCATACAACCAAGAGTCACCTCCAGAAGGATGAAGCTTTGTTTTTTGAAGTTTTACCTGAAGAAAGAACATCTCTTTCATTTATAAACATATGCATACTGGCTAGAATATCTATCAATCATGCCAGATAGTCTAGCGACAATTTTAAGGCACTGTAATCCTGCTGGAACCCTAAAACCAAGAGAAATAGTTTTGGGTCACCTACAGATGTGGCTTAGTCATATAACTATTTGCTTTGACTCATGTGCACAGAAATACCATGCAAATTAAATTACAGTAGGTGGGGAAGCTGCACCACAGATCTGAAATCATTAGCAATTCCTAGGAGCATTTACCTGATTTGTGTGCATTTAAATACAAACTTCAATAAAATTAGGAAAGCTTTACCACCATCTGTGTTGCTATAGCAAAGTGCAGGGGCAGCAAATATCTATTCTATGTTTTGACATTCCCCTGTCCAGCAGCTAGACATTTCTAATCAATTCCAACAATCTTTCCCCTGAGCCAGGATATTTATGCCTCAGAATCCTATGTTTCAGGCAGCCATTACCAGATAGGATGATTGGAAGATGAAATCTATTTGCTATGTTTGGGGTGGGGAAGAATTTGCATGGGCTTTGCAGGCAAATGGCTTAGGAGGTTTAAATCCCAGTTTTGCCCAATTGTGGGACATAGAGTAAGAGACTTGAAATATTAAAGTACTCTTGCAGCCTCATTCTTTTCATCTACAAATGTGAGATAAAAGTCCCATTTCACAGGATTATTGTGAAAATGACAGAAAAAAATGCATGTAAATTGTTTAGTATACCTGGAACTTAAAAGGCACTCAAAAAATTCTGGTAGTTGTTTGCTGTTTTTTAATACAGTTTGGAAGGGTGTGGTAATGAGCCCAAAGAGGAGAAAGGACCCATTTTGAGGGACATATGAGTTCTATAAAGCAAACATGGAAGATCTTACAGCAAAATGCATCCTTGTTGTACCCCCCTTTCTGGGATTATGGCTTTTATAGCCCATAATTTATTGAGGGCTTAATAAATGCCAGAGACTGTTCTAAACACTTTATAAAGATTAATTTATTTAATCTTCACAAGAACCCTGAGAGGTAGGTGTTCTTATCCCCAATTTATAGATGAGGCATAAAGGAATTAAGTGACTTGTAAGAGATAGAGTTAGACCAGTGCTGTTCAAAATGAGGTCCTGGGCCAGAAGCAGCAGCAGCAGCACTGGGAATTTAGGAAATTGCTAATTCTCAGACTCCTCCCCTCACCTCCTGAATCAGAAACTATGGGTGGGGCTCAGAAATCTGTGTTTGAACTGGTTCTCCAGGTGATTCGGAGGCATGTTCAACTTTCAGAACCAGACCAGCAGACAGAGGAGATTGGCAGGACAGAGAAGCGCAGGGAGTGGGATGATGACCCAGCAGAGAGGACCCCAGGACATTAGAAAAGGTACGTCCTTGCTAAGGAAGTGTGAGTGCCTTTTCAGGAACTTTCTCTGATTCCTTTCCATATTTCCTGCTAGTATTCATCCTGGAATTCTGTATGTGCTTTTTCCTGTTAATGGGGAAAATTGGTTAACTTGTGCTTGCTTGCTTGCTTGCTTGCTTGCTTTCTTTCTTTCTTTCTTTCTTTCTTTCTTTCTTTCTTTCTTTCTTTCTTTCTTTCTTTCTTTCTTCTTTCCCCCTCCCTCCCTCCCTTCCTCTCTCTCTCTTTCCTTTCCTTTCCTTTCCTTTCCTTTCCTTTCCTTTCCTTTCCTTTCCTTTCCTTTCCTTTCCTTTTTTTTTCTTTTCTTTCTTTCTTCTTTGTGTTAACGTGTTTCAGTATGGTAAACAAGAAAACAAGAAGCAGCATTCAAGTCTCCTTTGAAATCTGTGTCCTCCTCACTGCAAATGTGAATTTCTGCATTTCATCTCTCATAGATTCTTTCTTTCTTTCTCTTCTTCTAGTCCTTCAATTCAGCAGCTTCTGACCATTTAGGAAGGTTTTGAACTCTATCTGCGATATGAATTTGGAAGTGACTTGTTAGAGGACTGTGGCACAAAAGAAATATTACAATAAAAATCTGAATGTGCATGAAGCCCAGGGCTGAGGACTGCCTTGTTGTTGCTTTCTTGAATCTTGGTAATGATTCCATGCTGCACCACTGTTACTATCATCCACAGTGCAAATTGAGGTCACTAACAAAACCTTACCAACACTTACTGATCCTTCCGTTTGAAAGTGACCTAATCTGCTGTGTGTGAGCTGCAGGGCCAGGATCCAGCCCTAGGTTTGTCTGGTATCACAACCCATTGGGAGTCCCATGCTTTATGTGGCAGAGGAGGAAGGAGGGACGGAACTCTGAGGCCACTGATGTCACTAAGGTGGAGAAGCCAGAACCAACTGCTCAGGGTTTTTGGAGAGAAGGTGGAAGCTGGGATATAGAGACTCTCCTTGGTGATGTCATCTTGATTTTCCCTCAAATCAGTCACCCAGGAACCCAGGAAAGCTTTCTCTGTTATTTGTTAACTGCATTCCATCTGAGTGCTGTTGTTTAGCTGTCAGAAAGATAAGAGGTGCTCTATTTCCTTTTAAGATGCTACACTGTTTCAAGTGCTATGGAGGAGACGTTTTAGCACTCACAGAGACAAAGGAGGATTTAGCAGCCCTGTACCTATTTAGAAAGCAGATTATAAATCCCAGTGTCCTTGTAGGGTGCTTTGGGGGCTGTTCACCTTATGAGCCCTACCGTGAGCTTGGGCATGAAGGAGGAACCATTCTAAAAGACCACTTGTATTTTCCAAGTGACATATGGTGTAACTCACATTTTGGGAGAGAAGTAAAGAAGAAAAGCAATTATTTCTAATCCTAAAATCTCTGAGAGATACCTTTATCTGCTGTCTTCCTGCCATTTCTCTAACAGATTTGTTCTGCTTCTGCAAATATAAGTTATTAACACATAGATACCCAACCAGAGCAAGGAACAAAAAGACAAGCCAATCCTCAGCCCTGCATTGAACTGTATCTTTGGAATTCAGCCAGACTACCCTCGTTTTGGCCACTGGGGCTCCCCGTAGCTTGCTTTTCACTTTTCTTGGTTCACCCCCTCTGCCGCCGCACCTGAGCTTCCTATGTTCATTGCAGAGCTTGTTTTTCTAATAATCTGCTTTGCACCGCCGTTGCCAGGCCTCACTGTTAGTGTTCTCTGGGCATAATTATGAGATTTTCCTAGAGCTGATATGCCACGTCTGTAGTAGGGGATGTCAGTGCATTCTACCACTGTGACAGAGGCATAACCCTCACCAGAGGAGGGGGACAGTCACATACCTAGTGTGGTAGAAATTTCCTGGCTCCCAAGATCTGGGCAGTGGATCTCAAACTTCAGAGTACCTAAGAATCACCTGGGACTTTGTTAAAATCCACATTCTCAGGTTCTGCTTGCCTCCAACTCTGATTCTTTAGGTCTGAGGTGGAACCCAGGAATTTGAATTCTAACAAGCACCTGGGTAGTCCATAAGCCTCCTTTTGAGAAACAGTGGTTTGTTTGTGGTATTGGGGTATCAGCCAATGTCACATCCAGCCTTAGGGGGGTAGAGGAGGCACGGGCAAGGGTGGGGTGAGGTGGGTTAGCTTATGTCCAAACTGGGAGTCAGACAGTGGTGCAGGAGCAATCAGAGAGGGACACGCTCCTCTTCCCCTCTTCCATCCCTTTCCCACCTCTTTCTCTTCTCAACGAAATTTCTTTAAAGGATCTCTTGCAAGGAACTGTATTGTACACAAAACAGCTACAAACAAAGCTAAAGCTATGCCAGTTGGGGGTGAGGAGGTCTGAGGGCTTCAAGCTGACTGTCTCTTCCCTTTTACCCCATGAGGAAGCTCCTGGGGCAGCTCTGTGGACATTTTAGGGTTCCTTCAGGAGTAGTTTGAAAACATAATCTAACCTCCCTTTTATAGATATAGAAATTGAGGCTCAGAGAGGGGAAGTGACTTTTGTGAACTCTTAAATGACACTGTGGTAACCTCTAAATACTATTTTTAGTTCACTAATTGTCTTAGATCAAAGAGTTAAAACAAAGAACCATAGACTGGGTGGCTTACAAACAATAAGAATTTATTTCTCACAGTCTGGGAGCTGGAAGTCTAAGATCAGGGTGCTGGCATGGTCAGGGTCTGATGAGGGCCTCTTCTAGGTTGCAGACAGCAGTCTTTTCACTGTGTCCTCACATGGCAGAAGGAGCTCGAGGGAGTTCTCTGGGGTCTCTAATCCACTCATGGAAGATGCACCCTTATACCTAATTACCTCCCAAAGTTCTCACCTTCTAATACTATTGCATTGGGGGTTAGGTGTCAGCATATGAATTTTTTTTTGGGGGGGCACACTGTTTATAACACTAATATATTTACATTTGAGTGTTATTTAATAAGCAATATAGATCTACCATTTGTTCCAGCAATCCTACTACTGGGCATCTACCCAAAAGAACAAAAGAAACTCTATAAAAAAGACACCTGCACTCGAATGTTTATAGCAGCACAATTCACAATTGCAAAGTTGTGGAAACAATCCAAGTGCCCATCAGTACATGAGTAGATTAATAAAATGTGGTATATGTATACCATGGAGTACTATTCAGCTATAAGAAACAATGGTGATATAGCACCTCTTGTATTTTCCTGGAAAGAGCTGGAATGCATTCTACTAAGTGAAGTATCCCAAGAATGGAAAAACAAGCACCACATGTACTCACCAGCAAATTGGTTTCACTGATCAACACCCAAGTGGACATATAGGAATAACATTTATTGGGTGTCAGGCAGGTTGAGGGGTGGAGGGGATGGGTACATATATATATACATGAGTGTGAGGTGCACGGTCTGGGGGATGGTCAAGCTTAAAGCTCTGATTCCAGGGCTGAGGGGGGCAAGGGCAATATATGTAAGCTTAACATTTGTAACCCCATAATATGCTGAAATAGAAAAGAAAAAATATAAAGTTAATATAGTTCATTTTATATTACACTATCTGTTCTCAACTTTCGTTTTTGATGTTTAAATACATTTTTGAGTCAAATAAGCCCCTACAGGAAAAAAAATATCTACAACATGATAGTGGTCCTAACAAAATTATCTTTAAAAAAGACAACTCCGTAGAAAAATGGGCAAAGACTATGAATTGGCAGTTCAGAAAGAAAGAAATCAAAATTGTCATCCTACTGAAGGGATGCTTGACCTTACTAACAGTGAGGGAAACATCAATAAAAGTAAACAATGGAAAACCATTTGTGTTCATAAAGATGCCCATTATAAAGCATTTTTTAGAATGTAAAGACTTACAAATAATTACTATACCCAGTTCTAGGGGGTATGGGGTGAAAAGGCACTCTTAATCATTGCTTGTGAAAATGTGAATTATAATACTTTTTAAAAGAGCAATCCAGTAATGCTAAAATTTAAAAAATATATATCTTTTGACCTAGCCATCTCATATCTAGGAATAAAATCACTGATAGCTAAGGATATATGTACAAAAATGTTGTTATATTTTTGTAATAGTAAAACAAAACAAAATAAACAAGCTAATAAAAAAAGTGGAAGTAACCTGAATACCTATTGGTAGTTAACAGTTGAATAAATTTTGGCATGTCCATAGCATGGATAATTATGTAGCTATATTAAAGAATTAAGTTAGTTCTATACTAGTTCAGCAGGAGGGATTTCCACAAAGAATTTTTCAGTGAGAAAGATAATATGTAGAGAAGTATCTACTATATAATAATTTTATATGTATAGACCAGAAAAACTCACTGCCCCCATAAATGTGGAAATATGTCATTTGTAAGAGCATAAATAAAGGTATAGAATGATAGAAAACAGGCTGACAGTGATTACTTACTGGTGAGAGGAGAAGAGGGAGAAGATAAGGAGGGAAAATATATATAGCATAATACTAATGTCAAGTTTAGAATATAAAATTATAGCCATTGTAAATATTTAAAAATTGAATATTTGTGTTATTGAATATTAAGATAATGGCTTAAAGTGGCTGACATGAATAAATCAAAATATTGATTTGACTTTAGGTTCTGATGTGGCTAATTTTCTTCTTGGGCCCCTGTTATTTCAATATAATATCTTAACATTTATTATTAGTATTATCTTCAATGAGCTCCTTCCCATTTGGTTATGGTAAGGAAACTGAATTACGTAGGCTTAACCAACATTTATAATCAAGAGCCTGGTGCCCAGAGCAGGCAGATCTATTGTTTTCAAACTATTCTTTCTGGAGCCCTAGTGGTTCCATGGATGTACCTCAGAAACCACCAGGTGGGAGAGGGCTGAGCTCCCAAGCCTGTGTCTACCTCTCTACTCTTCACAGTCTCCAACCCTCAGCTGCTAAAAAGAGCCACTCACTTTTATCTATTTTATATACTGGAATTTTACATACAATTTTATTTGAACAAAGTCCTGGTGCTTAAAAACAAAATTGAATACCAATGGTTTATGATGACAGAGTAAGGACAATTTCAATATGAATACTCCACACATTGCATTTATAATTATATTTTGAGAGAGTTAAATATTGTTGCAACAAATATCCACATGCAGGAAACATGAGTAGATTGATTCCTGGTTCCTACTCTTCAGTTATGAATGTCAGAAATTTCTCTATTGTGGACCCATTGATCTGGGGGGAGGCATGGATCAGTAGAGAAGGCTGTTGTTATCATAGCTGTAGTTGTGTTTGTCCAGCATGTCCCTTGACCTACCTCTTTCTGGTGCTAGAACCCTATGTCCAGAGGTGAGCCCATCCCAAGTGTTTTAGGGTGGATGTATGACCCAAGGCTGACTGATCAGAATACACAATCCACCTGGCCATAGTAAATGTTTCAGGTATGATACATATTAAGCTAGGCTAGTCAGAGCCCACCCTTGGATTTTTATTGGAATTATTAGGGAAATGGATGCTCTTTTCTCACTAGGACCACAAGTTCTAAGGATGAAGTAAACCTAGAGCTACTGGTGGACCTCTTTGCCATCACATAGGGAGATTGCT